TCTTAAAACACTTCCTAAACACAAATCCCAATACTATCCAAATAATTTTTTAATTTACCTTTTAAAAAATATTCCAAAAATTATTTTTACACAATGTTCATCCACCACTACCGGCCAGCGACCGGTAGGCCAGATTCCAGTCAAATTTCGGCGAGTTGGCCGGAATCCGGCCAGCCGGTCGCCGACCGGCGGCGGCAGGCGGTCCGGCGGTGGTGGAGATGATCTGGAGGTGGTCTAAAAATATTATTAGTTTATTTAAAATATCACCCAAATAACTTTTTAAATTTTATCTCAAATTACATTTTAAATCACATTTCAAATCCAAATCAAAAATCAAAACAAAAACTAAAACAAAATGTTGGCCAAACAAGTCCTCTTTTGAAGACATTGGAGAGGCTATATCACATACTTTGCTCACATTTACGCATATATGACATGAAAACGTTACCCAATGCACAATTGTCTCGCAGTCCAAAAGATTAAGGTAGTTAGATTATCTATCAAATTTATAAATATTACAAAGTATATTTGAAGTTTTAAAAATGAAATTATTGTTGAATTTAGATTTTTATTTTTAGTTTAATTTATATTAAAAGTAAAAATTAGAATTAAACAATAATTTTGGGATGGAGAGAATATAATGACGCGAACTCTTCCATAAGAAGTGCCATGATGACAGGTAACATCACATGAATCATCTTCAACAAGATCATATGTACAAAAGATTCAAGTCCAAACTTTTGGTTCATGTATGCAACTTTATCCCAAAATGTATCATCACAGAGTTCTTACACTCACAACTCTGTTATTTCAATACTTAACATTTGTTACATACACACTCTTGGGAACTAAGCAATCCAGATTAGGGTATAATTACCGTATGGTGGAAATAGTAACCAATAGTTACTAGCAGTCTAGCTAACATCAAACTTTTCATTTCTTCGAGAAATGAAGCTCTAGTGATGCTTATAAATTGCTAGCAAAAATATACTTGGGGGCTAAGATCGAGGGAGTTTCATGCATGTTATTCTTCAAAGCAAATCCCCGACTCTATCCCTAGTTTTGTTTCTTTTTGTTTGTACGTAGTATCATTTTAACTAGAGTTCTTCTTAGCTTGTTAATTTAGTTGCTGAAAACAATGAACAAGACAATATTCTTTAGTAATCCGCTTTCTCATTTTCTTGGTTCTTAAAAAGCTTATCAGCCAGACTTCACGTAACTAACTAACTTTATTGGAAATGCATGATTGAATATACACGCATATTTTGCTTTACAGTTTTCGAAGAGTGATTATTAAAATTAATGCAAGAAATCCCAGCGTCCTTTTTCTGAAATTGAGACATTATTTTGATATAAATCTTGCTTCTTCTTCTTCTTGGAGAAAGAATATTGCACATTTATTTAATCATTTCTAGGGTCATTTGATTTGATTTTAATTGATGACCAACTTTTTTCATCAGGGTCCATTGGCATGATGAATAAGGACAAATCTCAAGGAATTTTCCTCATCTTAGTGAGTGTCATTGTCATTAATTAAACTAATAATATTAGTTGTTACAAAGATTCATCGGCTAATTAACATCTTACTCATAATATTAAAAAAATTGTGAAGGTGGTGGGTATAGTCGTCGTTTTGCCTTTTGTCACGGCTAGTAGAATAACCGATTCAAAGTCTTCAATCAAGGTTTTTTCTGGGTGTTTATTACCGTCATCAATTTGTTAAAAAATTAAAGTCTCATTTTTATTTTATTTTATTTTTTGAAATTTTTTGGTTGTTTCTTGAAGGGCTGTTTCTGTTGTGTTTGTTTCTTGGTAAAGGATATTCTCGTTTCGCATTTGCAGAAAAGAATGTGTGTTTTTCCTATACAACTTGAGGTTGCAAAGAATTAATGGATTTTTCCCTGGCCGCCAGCGTAAGCAATGCCTTTTTCTTGGAAGTTTGTTAATTGTACGTAGCTTAATTATCTGTAATCCTTTTGGGTTTTTCTTGTTTGGAGGAATTCTTTTTTGCTGGCTGATTTATTGTAGTAGTATTTTACAAGCTTATAAACAATGTAGTACTAGAAAACAATGCACATGAATTTCTTGAAAAAAAAAATGTTTATGTACATTATACATGTACGTACATGAACCTCCTGAATTTATTGGAGAAAACGTCTACATAAAATGAGTAGAAAGAAGTCTATAGAGACCTATTTTACTCGAATCCAGATGAGTCCGAATAATTGTTTAAATACTGAATGTAATAGACAAACGAAAAATGAAAGAAAAGAAAATTTCAAAAGTTGACTACCTACGTCAGTTATGTTGTATATTCACTTTTGTTACCATTGTTCTTACAAAAATGTTAACACCATGGTTAGAGACGAATTATTTTGCTCTTAATTAATATATAATTAGTCCGTAAAATCAAGTACAGCCCTTTTATTTTCTTCTTAATTAAAGACGAAATATTATAATGTTCAGCTTAAAACACTTGGATCTTTCTAGGCAATAGCCTTTTTCATTGTAACAAAAAAAAAAAATACTTGAATCACAAATCCGAAGAGTTTTAAATCACTGGGAAGGAAATAAAGCTCTGTGTCACAGTTTGTCCAACAATGAAAAATAAAAACTTTCTGAAGATATACAGCGATGTCTAATACTAACCTAATTCTTTTTATTGTAAAAAAAAAATATTGACCTAATTAAAGTTGACAACAAAACATTTGTGTGAACATAGTAGGACTAGTTAATGATGATAGATGCCCTTTTGATTGTAGGGAACTACATCAATGGGGTCAGATTTAGGGAAAGATAAGGAAGTAAGAGAAGTAACACCAATTTGTTGTATAAATCAATAATGTCAACAAGTTTTTAACAAACCATGACAATTTGCTTACCGAACAAAAGCACCAAAAGTCATCGGAAACATAGAAATGTCTCTTTTATGGTCTAAAGTTTTACAACTGTAAACAAGTTTCTTTGCCTTAGGAAGAATATCTATGTCGTAAAAGTATGGTACATTTAAGAATTCAAAATGCTTTTATCAAAGGTTAATTACTACTAATCCACGATATCTAATTTCTATCCGTGATATAATAATATTAATCAAACTTATCACCATTTCTTAATTTGATGTTAGTCAAAGTTACATCAAACGTTTGATATAGCTAGTTCATAGATGGATATCTAGATGTCCCTTTATAGATGTTCGTGGTTAAACTGTAGTTAATCAGGTAGATTATTGTAGCCAATGTTTATTTATTAATACTAAAAATGAATACATTCTTCACCCAAAAGAAACAAAAAAAAAATAAAAATGAATGCATTAGAAAGATCAAACCTGTTGGTGCTAGCAACTTGGGACAACCGATTTCATTAATTCCCGCTTGTTTTAATTCTTCCTTATTTTCTATTAGTGTTTTTAATGCCAAAAGAAAAGATCGAAGAAGTTTGAGTGACACTACCATATTTCCTTATTCTCTTAAAGATAGATTGACTGGAGCCACTATTAATCAATTTTGGTGTCGGAAATTTGATCAATGATCTACATACCAGAAATGGGACATAATTTCTATGATCATAAATAAAAAAAATCAAAAAAATCGAAACAGTTTGCATTCAATATAATTCAAACTTAAATTAACTTATAAATATTTGAATGACAACGGAGCATTTCCGTATGATGTTCTTCCATATTTAACACCAAATTGGCGGAAACAAGATGGTGGTACTGTGAGAGATAACTGAATAAACCACTAGGTGGAATCACGATTTGGTTTCAACAGAATTTCAATATTATTACGATTTTATATTTATGAATAAATTTTATAGGTTTTGCCTCTTGAATTGTTTTACCTTCTTTTAAAGGGAATATATTATAGAGGGCTTTTCCTCTTGTTTGCATCTTTCACTCCCTCTCTCAGGTTCCGCATGGTAGCCATTATCAAGTATCAAAGTAGAAGAATGATTTGCGTAGCTGAAAATATGACATATTGCCATATTGCTATTCATGTGGAATATGATGTAAGTTGAACCATTTTACTAGTTATTCTTATTCAAATTTTCTTTTTTTTTTTTAAAAAAAAAAGACCATGCAATGTAATGTTAGTGATAGCCTATTCTTGAAATTAATAAGGAATAAAAGGAGCTTGTATCCAATGAAATAGATTTAAATCCTGAAAGAAAAAAAACCCCCGATTTCAACAAATTAATCCACTGCAAAATGAAAAAGAGGGAGAACAGAAAAGTGAGCGTAGAGTGCTTTGGATTGACAAAATTCGAGAGTCGCCCCGTAAGTGATAAGTTTAGTAAGAATAAATCGAGTAACTAAACCGTACTTCTGATGTTAAAAATTCCGAAGTCCCCAAACCGTGACAAAAACCATTTACATGCGGAATTAATGAAGCTTGCCAGAAAATCATATTTGTCTTGAAACTGAATTTGTTTAAGATTGAGAAGATGAAGAACACTTGAAGGGATAATGTTCTTTATTAATAATTGATTAATCAAGAAGTGTTTTTTTTTTTTTTCCTTTTTTGATAGACCGACAAATTCATCACGTACATATTCACTTGTTGATTCTGTTGGATCTTCAAGAACTCGAATTTTACATAAATTTTTATTATTTCTTTTATTCAAAATCTTTGGTTGGAAAGGATTTTCAATCTGCATTTGTTTTCATCCCTTTCTTCCTAGTCCTGAACTCGAGCTAGAAATGGACTACATTTAAATTATCCATTACTAATGCTTCTGCCCTTTCCATCACCTAATAATTTATTACAATCATAAACGCTTTCATGGCATCAATCCATCATGGATATGAATCGCAAAGGAACCTTTTCTCAATTATTTTCCGTAAGGATCAATAAGTTAGGGCCAAAAAATGTGGAGAAAATAAAGATGTTTATTTTATCCAAAATAAAAAGAGAAGAGAAGAAGAAGAAGAAGAAACAGCAAAGTTCATGTTCTTTGGTTAGAAACAATGATTAGAAAACAACACATTATCCAATGAAGTTCTCAAAGTAAAGCCTCCTGTATATGTTGGGGAAACGTCAAACTTGCAAACTCAAAAGGAGGTACTCAATCTTCTAATGATCACTCTAAAGGAATCACCCAATTTGAACATCAAATCAGATAGAGATCAACAGAAAAGCAACCAAACTCCTCAGAAAATTTTATTAGGGTTTCCAAGATATCCGAAAATCCGATTAATCACCTCCTACTAATTAATTAATACCAATTTACACAAAACGTAGTAAAAAATGTACACAATCATTATCATCATCATCATGCCCCGTGGTACCTCAAGTTATCCACATTAGCGCACTCTAGTGTTGATCCTTGTTGTTGAAGACTCTCAAAGCTTGAAGCAAAAGAAGCAGGAAGAGCCACAGAACTCATCATTTCTCCCCAATCCAAGCTCCCAATTTTGGTATTATTGTTCATCAAGATATCCCCACATAAGAACTCCAAACCATCTAGCTTTTGTGAGTTGTTGTACATCATTTGCTCAATTTCAGCTTGAAGAAAACTGTTTTGTCCTTGAATGACCGTAGCACTCGAAAAATCGCTCCCCGGCACCTCCACATTGTATTGTGCTTCATGATTAGGCAAAGTAGCTGAGATCATACTGATTTGTTGCTGATCATACAATGGTGGAACCATGGAGTTGTTGTTTCCCAAAGGATATAGTTGTTGATCTTCATTCTCATCCTCAGAAGAAAACCTTCCTCCAAGCTTAATCAACAACTTTCTAATAGAAGCATGATCATTGTTAAATCTTGGTTCTTCATTTGAGTAGGGTATTGGAGGAAGAATAGGAAGCTGAGGCCAATAGGGGTTTTGGTTATTATCAATAATGTTACCAGAAGAAGAAGAAGAAGATCCAGAAAGCATGTAGTTGTTAGCATTCTCCTTCAACCCTTTTCTCAACAACTCTTGCTTTTGGCTAGCAAGACTGCTTCTTCTAGCTGCTTGTTCTTTCCTTTGCTTTCCTAATAGCTTCTTCTTCAGCCTTGTGTTCCAGTAATTCTTTATATCATTGTCAGTTCTTCCGGGAAGTTGCGCAGCGATGATAGACCACCTGTTTGAGCAAGAAAACAAGAAAAAGGAAAATCAACATATATTGAATATCAATCCCTCCACAAATGAATCTTTTTAAATCTCTTTTTAAGAAGAAAAGTGAGTGAAGTATGAAAAGAACCCTTCATTCCAAAAGGCAAAAATATTTATTCAATTTTTTTTTTACCTGCTTCCTATACTGATATAGAGGCTACAAATGATGTTATCTTCTTCTTCAGAGAATCCTCCATGTTTGATGTTGGGACGAAGGTAGTTTAACCATCTAAGCCGACAACTCTTCCCACATCTCTTTAGGCCTAATAAACACAATTTCACAAAATACAACTCAAAACTCATTGTCTAATCAAAAGGGTTTGCGTTAAATCTACAACACAAAGTTTAAAATGTTCAATATATACAAATAGACTATTTTTTCAGGACGCAGATTATTACCAATTTTTTGAGGCAAAGCAATCCAGTTGCCCCCAGTTCCATTCTGCTCAATATAGGACTTGAGCTTAGCATCTTCTTCAGGAGACCATGGCCCTTTCTTCACATTAGCTTTGTCACAGCATGGAGCTCTCCCCATCTTTTTCTCTACTTCTTCTGAAGACTTCCAAATTATTAGCCTAATCTCTCTATCGTTCCTTCTCTCCTCTTTGGTTCTTCTTTGTTGATTTTGTGTGTGATTGTGTGAGAGAGAAGGAGGGAGTTATAATAGGTGGAAAGGGATAGACAGGTTCCTTATGATTCGAAAAATTAAAGGAGCACAAAGGATGAAAATACGTATATAGAAATATGGAAATAGTGCAGGATAAGTACTGACCCGGGGGGTGTTTCTTCTTGTCTTTCTCAATATCAAGAATCATTATTGTATTATATGTAGTTTTCAGTGTACTGTTAGTGTTACAATATTCCTTTTTAATAAAAAAAATCTTCAGTGTTTCTTGTTTGTCCATTAAGGACTATCCAATAAAGACCATAATTTTCTCAATGATACAAGTTGAAAAATATTTCCCCACTTGTTACTGAGAGGTTGTCATATGTTTAACCTTTGTTATTTTCATGTTGTTTGTTTAATGTTTTTGTGAGATATGGTGTATCTTTGTTTTATCTACTAACGTCATGATGTTTACACATATATATTTGACAAAGTCCGTCCAACTTAATGACCTTACTCTATCATTTTGTGACCTGAATTTAATTTATCTTAGGTTACAATCAGAATCATAAGTTGGGAGATTACACTAAACATGCATTATTGAAATCACATAATTTAAATGTTACATGTTTATATTTATTCCATTACAACACAAATACCATATACTCCTTCCATTTTTTATTATATGTCGTTTTAGGATTTAGTAAATTTTTTTAAATATATGTCGTTTTAACAAATCGAGACACATTTGATCACTTTTTTCTAATATTGTCCATGCATTGGAAATGAACAGTATTGAAAATGAATTTTCATTGGTTTGTGATGAATTCTATAGATCATAAATAAAGGTGTTTTTGTATTTTAACTACATAAATTAATATTTTCTTAGTTCTGATGAATTTTCTAGAAAGACATATAATAAAAAATGGAGAGAGTACGATATGTTTATTTTACAGATAACAATATTGTTCCACTTGAAAACTAATTGCCTCTCCATGAAATGTCACAATGTGTAGTAAAAATGCCAGGAATTTTTTAAATGCTAATAAAGTTGGAAGAATCCTATGTTAATTGAAGATATCCTTGGTTCGTTAACTAAAAAGGGGGGAAAAAAATGTATTGGAGCCAAATTTACGCCCAAAGACTTCCGAACACCTTGATATGAGAGAACTAAACAAAAAATAATCTCAAGTGTTCTCCCCATCATTTCCTCGATTCATGGGAAAATTGAAAAGAGAAGATAAATTAAAAAGGTTTCAATGATTTCCTAATGATCACAATATTATTAATTATCTCGGAGAAACTGCCTCGGAAAAGGGGGCCAACAGATTTTAATTTGGTCCGTGAAGAGAATACTATTACTAAGCTAGGTAGCTTGAAGATCAGTCAAATGATATATTTGCTGGCGACATTAACTTGTGTATAAGAAATTCTACAACCAAAAAAGAGAGAGATTCAACGTACTTTTTTCTGTGTACACACTTTACACACCAAAGGTCTAAGGGATCTTAAAGCAAGAGGGGGAACTTTTCCTATGTGTTAGGTGACCCGATGACCTACAAAATATGGAATATATGGTGTGCCCTTAGCATATAGGCGGCTTAGTCAAAATAATAATTATAATAATAACAAAGGGATATATTGATCTATGCAGTGATGCCAGATAAACCTTTGATTCACTCTGCTCTTGATATGTTTTTATCCCTTTCGGAATTCATTACATCTGAATTTCGCCAAAAAAAAAAAAAAAAACCTAAATGAATGTTATATTGGTTCTTTTTGTTAATCAATATTCCCTCTGCTCTAAGAAAAATAGTTCACGCGTTAATTTTGAGTTATACTATTTTAATACATATCTCAAAAGTTAATATGGATTATTTTTCTAGGACGGAGGGATTACATAATATATATGATTTTACCTGTTCGTTGTAAAATAAGAATCATGGTTAAATATACTTTCTTATTTTGTGATGAAACTTGTTTGATGAAATAAAATTGCAAATTACACGGTCAAATATACTTTCTTCATAGTGTACTAAACTTTCTACGTATGCCTAACTGACTGACAGATCGAAGACATTGTCTTCCCTCAGTTAATGCAGCCTCAACATAACCGCCTTCCAGTTATATTGTTTTTTTCTTGCAGTAGTTCACTTGTTAAGAAACCTTTCATTCCATCCTATACAAGGACCATTATTCATATTTTGACCACTCTTCCGTCTAAAAAAAAAAGGAATATCATTTTTGTTTGAGTTACCTTAGCAAATAAGTAAGGCTCTAGTTTTGGTTACGAATGAATATAAATTCTACTTGTTGCAAATAAACTTGAGTTACTCATTATGTTTATTGAAGTTCAATATCTTTGATGTTGTAGCTATGTATAAAGTTGAATGATATTGAAACTAACTGTGGAATTCTTAAACTTAAAGATGTAGAATATGATTTTTGTTTCCCTTTCTTAGTCACTGAATCGGTTTTAATTTGCTGTCACAAGATTGACTCCTTCGTTAAATTGTAGGTTCTTCAACTAATTGTATACATTATTAGTCAGAAAATATAATTCTACTCCGAGCTCAAGGATAGGAATCAAACACTTGACTTATGGTTATAAGTAGATTAAATCTTAATTAACAATTAACCACCGCCACTAACTTAAAGCAAGACCATTGTTAAGAAATATTCTTACGAGATGGTTCCTAAAATGTTCTAGATTAAAGAAAGGAGGTAACGTTACTCAATTGTGTAATGTTTGATTCCAGAATAACATTCGTTTGATAACGATAAGGTTGTAGGTTTAGGACTTGAAAAATAAGAGGCTACTTCAGAATCCGACAGCATAAATAGATACTAGATTAATTGGATACAGAAGTGAAGTACTCCAAGGAAAATAACATGTTTGAACAAAGGCCAACCAATTAAATTCATGTTTACAACTACATATATATAACTATAAGCTTCTTTTGTTGGACTACAAGAGTCAAAGGCCATGGAAGAAGAAGAATGCCACTTAGATATTGAAGGACTTTATCTTTGATTTAATAAATAAGGTGAGATGAACTTGGGCAAAATTAATCACCAAACTGTCTTAATCACTTACCATCATAATTGACTTTGGTTTTGTGTATTAATTATGTGTTGCAGCTAGCTAGCTAGCTAGCTGATTATCTATGGTGTTCCATTTCTCTGCTGTGATTAATCTTTCCGCCGGCCAAATGACAACGAATAGCTCGATTTCCATAAATTAATTTAGACTCTTTTTTAACGGAATAAATAAAAAAGAAATATCAAGAGAATACCGGAAACCTGAATTAATGTGTTTTCTCTTTTCTTTTGGTCAACTTCTTTCAACAATTTATTAAAAAAAAAAGTTCCTTCCTCATGTCTCTGATGCAATTTAAATTATGAAATATCTTTGTCACACAATTATTAGACTGGTTAGTATAACGATATATAGAGGAGGTTATATATATGATAGAGCGTTTTGATAACGAAAAAAAATGAAACATAACTCAAAAGATGAACTGCCATTTTGTTTGTTTGTTTGTTTGTTTTTTCATCAACGTTAAAATGCACACTGATAATTACCTCATGCATGAAGAACTTTTAACTGTTTTTGATTGATTGAACTTACGTTCCCATATATACTCCCTCCATTCCAAAATTATTGTTCAGTTTGGGATTTCACTTTTAATTCAATTTATATTAAAAATGAAATTTCTGGACAATAATTATGGGATGAAGAGAGTATTTCCGATTGTCCAGTTAATATCCACTAAATTGATGTTTGATTTAGCTAACAATATTGGAGAATATAAGCATGGCATTAAATATATTTATTTCTCACGTGGTCAAATTTGAAATTTTGGTAGGCTAAAAAGAAAGCAAGTGTTTAGACTTGAGAGACTAAAGACCTAATGAGCGTCTCTTGCACGTATAAGATGTAGTCATTCTGCAGCTTAAATAGTTCAATTTTTTTACAATCAACTTAGTCCTGGTATGATTAATATGAAGAAAACATTGTTTATTAGTTTTGTCACGATATTTAGATGAAGCATATTATGCATGGGTATAATTAATCTTAGTTTTAAATTTTGAATTATATAAATTTGACAATTAAAATAGAACCGAAAGAATACGGTTAATTATTAAATGGAAATTGGAGGACTTTAGTATTGTAATGGTCTACATGTAATTGAAAATTTATTCCAAAGCACTGTACTGATTAGTTCATGGTGTATACGTAACTAAACGTACGAAGATCCCCACCTTAATATTTTCTCTTGACCAGGCACCTCTGCAGTTTAAAGATATTTTCTTTGTTTTCTGTGTTTGTGATTTTTGTTGTTAGCTGTTAATTACCACTATATATATACATATATATTAATTATGGTATATCATCTGGACTTCCTCTATCAATTATATTCATCAAGGAAAAAACATATCATTTTTTATTGTAAATGGACCAATCAAACTGATATAGCTTCAGACACGGGGTGTATAATAATAATAATAATAATATAATAAAATGTATAACTTAGAGATTAACCCGTCCATGATTAATCATTAACTTCATTTTGTTAATTGAAACTGCTAATAATTGTATCGCCGAAATTGAAATTGGGCATCCAAATTTAATAAACAGAACCTTTGACGGTGTCACTCGATTATGTCATGTACACGTAAAATGAGTGCATATCACAAAATGGCTTGTCAATTTCGATTGATTTTTGCATGATTTAGTTTAAATATATGCAACATTTTGTGGATATTATACTTTGAAGGAAACTAACTAGCTAGGAAGGCTTGGAGATTTTCAATATTATGCCAAAGATTTAAAGTTAGAAATTTTAAGTGGCATCTTCGATAGCTTCTGATTCAAAATGATTATTTAGTTTAAATTTTTTTATTTCTAGTACGTATAATTTTCAATATTAAAATAAAAATTTAAATTCAACCATTCGAAAGAGAAGGTTCGTTTAAGGTATGGATTCATGAGCTAACTTTAATAACTCGAGCCTCAGCGGTTGAAGGAGGCTTTAAAATTCTTATAACCTCCCTTCTTTTGTCCAATGACCAAATCCCATAAGCTTTTCTAAGGTAGGTTACCGTATAAATGGGTTAACTTAATAAGGGTTATTTTACTGCAAAAAAAAAGAACACACAAGATTCAAATTATCTATGATTGAATTTTGCACACGACATGTATAATAAGGCAAATAAACTCTAAAGAAAAAAAAATATAATTCATTTATTAAAAATGAAATATAACTTCATATTCATTAGTCATTAAAGCGTTCATTTTCTAAAGATGATTTAGTACATTTTTTTGTATTAAATGGGGTTTCATAAGTCTCCGGTGTTTTTCCGTCGATATATATATTACACATTTGGTGATCGAAATCATTTGTGGTAATTAATTCGGATCCGATCCTTTTAAAGAGTGACTACGTACGTCTTAAAATTAGGAGAGACTTAAAAGTGGAAAAAAAGAGATGGAATCGGAGGTAGTATCACTATCGATTGATTGATAAAGAGTCCCAATCAAACCGACTTAGACCAACAATTAGACAACGATTATGAACAATATTGCCTGCAACCTTGACGTAGCATTCATGTTGATATTGAAATTGATTATCAATCGTGGCATTCTTTCATAAGTTCAAAGCGACATAATTAGATAATATACTCCTATGTATATACATTCGTAACGGTGTATACACTGGATACAGCTAGAACCATGTGACCTTATTATGAGTTGGAATTTAAGGTCAGTTTTACAAATTAAAAGGAAAAAGAAAAAAAAAAAAAAGAATAACGCAAGCAATGTGCAGTAATTCTAAACATCCCCGCCAATGATATAAGCATCCATTTAATTAATAAAAAAAAAAACCCCACCCTGGTAAATTTTACTTAAATATGGGTAAAAACTCTCCCTTATAATCCCTGGTGGAAATCGAATCTGGTCTATTACTAGGAAAGACTGCAACCTAACTATTAAGCTGTCATTCAATTTCCCATGAGCATCCATAAAATGTCATTTCCTTTTGTTTGTGCGTTTTCTCTCTGTCCCAAAGCAAACAATGATCTTGTTTGATATATTAAATTAATCCAATTAATATGATAATCATTTCAAGATTAATGGAGTTTAATTTAGTTGATTAATATAGTAAACTCACATGGCATTGACAGCTGCAGGATAATTGTCGTGGTTCCTCTTAATTATCTTTAATTATCTTTGGGGGCAAAAACAGAAGAAAAGAAGACAAAATTATTACTCAAAAGGTAGCAATTGTTAATCCTAGATCTCAGAAATCACATCATCATAAAAAAGCAGGAAAAAAAGAGCTGAATTATAATGAAATTGTGTCCATGACGTACTGGCATATTTTTTTTCCCTGGTATTTCAGTGGTACTGACATATTTTAGTAAAAAAATACTCCCTCCGTCCTATAATTATTGTCCAGTTTGAGTTTTCATTTCTAGTTCAAATTATACTAAAAGTGAAATTTCAAACTGGATAATAATTTTAAGATGGAGGGAGGGAGTATATTTCTAGTTAATACTAACACTTTAGTAAAAGTAGTAAGTAAATTTTAAAGCTTAAGTTATTAGACAATATAATAATATATCAAGTATAGCACAAATGACAAATGTCTGAAAACTGAAAATGTGATTATGGATAGCTAGATTATAACAAATACCTAGAGTTGTCCAAAATATGGAATATTAACAGAAACTGTTTTTGATGGCATTCTTTCGAGGATTTATTGAGCATTTTATTAGACTGAAACATTTACGACGGTTAAATTTTTTCTTTTAAAGAAAAAATCACATTATCTTTTCTTTTTTTAAAAAAAAAAATCACATTATCTTTGAACTGCCTCCTCCAATTAAGAGTTCTCTATTTGTTGAATTGTTTTACTACAACAAATATGACTCTTATTTTTAGACAGGAAATAACTTTTCCTATTCTGGGACGGATCGAAATTAGAATGTAAAGTGCCCGGATACTAATAACTTAATAAGAAAGTTACTAAAAGCTGTTGGGAGTACAATTCTACAACAGATAACAATGGGCGAAGAGAAACAGACATAATGATATATACAATGCAGTTCAACATTCATTCCTCATCCTTACTGCAGAGAAATGGAAGAAGAAATCAGTCAATCTGGACAACCCAGCCTCTCTTATCCTCGAATTTGCCACTTTGAATCCCTACATATCTGTTGTACAGTTTCTTGGAAGCAAGATCAGGATGCATCTTGTATTCAATCCTGCAGAAAACAAAAAAAAAAAAAAAAAAAAAACACACACACACACACAATCAAGTAAGGCCAAGAATATAGCTCTCATTTGTCCAAGTAATTACAAAATACCAGAATCTGATCATTACCTGTTACCATTGTGTGTAATACTTCCAACGGCCGCAATACCAACGGCTGTCCCCGTGCAGAATACCTCGTCAGCATCAACTAATTCGTCGACTGGAATTGTACGTTCTTCAACCTAGCAATATCAGTGAAGTTTTTGTCAGTCGATTTTACCAATTTCGCTTCTTCATTAACACACTCATGACTCATGAGGCCTATACTATAAACAATGGCATGTTTTATTGAGGGGCAGGGGATTAAGGTTACGGACCTGGTATCCAAGATCAGTCGCAATGTCCATTATGCTTTTCCGAGTCACCCCTTCAAGGATGGTTCCAGTTGTTATTGGAGTTGCAATAACATTTCCCTGCTTGAGATAGTCAGAAGTAAATGGTCTAAACTCCAAAGATTTAAAATTAATTGAAGATCCATATATTGAGGAGATTATGATCATGAACATTACTTCATTCTAAAATCAATAACTTCAAGAAGTGTTACTTTCTTTGTTTCATGACTTCTGTTAGATGTCACCCCAACCAAAGGAATAACCTATTCAGTAATACAGATCAACAGTTTAAAGAGTTTCTTAGTTACCAGGCAATGGAACAGACCTTGATGACGAAAATGTTGCAAGAAGAGACCTCCTCAATGTTTTTCTTCTTAACTGCATCTAAGTACAAGACATCAGAAAAGCCTCTGTCTTTAGCTCTACGAATTGCTTTCAAAACCTGCAGAGTTAAGGCAACTGTAATATGAGACCATGGAAGCAAACATATTGGCGAAAAAAAAAAAAAAAAAAAATTATTCAAAGTTTATGGGAAAACCATCTGATTCAAAGATGCATCCTATATTTTTCAGAATCAAAGGTTTGAGGTTCCCTAAAATAACCAGCTGCATCACCCCTTAACAAGTAATTCTTTTCTAAATTCCTACGTTAATTTTTGCTTCTTATATTTGGCCAAAAATGTGTAGACTTGTTGAAAACAAGGACATCAAAGTTGAACAAAAACACTTCACCGGTGCATAGTTAGTTATGCTCTTAATGCCTCCAGCTCCTCCACGCGATGCACGATGAATTTCATCCTCTACATACAGATTTAATGGCGCAGTTCCCTCCTGTATGAGGAATCACACATAATGGATAACGAATTGTGAAGCTGAGAATTTACCAAGGGAAAAATCAGGATTCGAGGCGAATCGCGAACAAAAAGAAGTAAAAAGTGAACCTTGAAGTAGTTCCCAACAGGTGAAGCATATACAAGAAATGTAGACTCAGGAGCTGGCGCCAGACCAAGTATAGGACCACTTCCTATGAGCAGAGGCCTGATATAGAGAGATCCTTTTCCTGGCGGAGGTATCTGCTCCAATGCAACGGAAAGTCACCCGAAAGAGTATATATCAGTATTCTAAAAGAAACAGAACATGTGGCACAACAAAAGAAATATGTTTGAGTTCCAACAGTAACAACAGCACAACTCTGCAGAATAATTGAGGAGTTTCAGAGCGGAAACTTTATTGGCAATAAAATGATTTACCCAACGCTTATTGGCCAGGGCAGTTTCCTTAACAGCATTGATAAAATGTTCGACAGAAGGTGAGGGCATGCACATTCTCTCTGCACCAATCTGCATCCGTATGGCATTTTGATCAGGGCGGAACAGAAAAAGGCCTCCATCCTCTCTGCGATAGGCTTTTGTACCCTCAAACAGTCCCTGTTTTCATAGTTTCATTAAATGGTACAACATAAGGAGGTGAATGGACACTTCTATATCCAATATACATGTTTATACAAACATTTGTACCTGTCCATAGTTGAGCACCCCAGCTGAAGGGCTCAATTCAATGTTTCCATATCGACAAAGTTGGCCTTGTAGGAAATTTTCATTATTGCTGCATTTCATAATGTACATGTAGTCCGTTGGTGTAAGACTAAATCCAAGATGGTTCCAGTCAATGTCGGCACAGTCATCATCACTGGAAAATTCGTCAAGATAGTTTTAGCAAGAGCAGAAAGTGCCGAAATGTAGACCCAGATGAAACTTCATTTTACTTCTGTTTAGTGCACGAAAATGAACTCATAATGCAAAATATCCCTTGAACCTAAAAAGACTAAAGAGTGATAGAACTAATCAAATATTTCAATCACCTGAATGATGCTGGTTCACAGGCATGCTGCAGCGAAGATGCAACCTGAGCTGCATAGCTACGAGCTCCAAGCTACAAAACACAGAACATTTGATTCATGATGAACAAAATTCATCATCAAGTGACAATGACCACTACCATGTTATCAACAGTGTACATTATTATCACCTTTGTGAGCAATAAACATGTATTTTGTATTTAGAAGGACCGTTTGACAAGGTCCCTCCTAAATTGCATTATCAAAATTTCAACCATGTACAAAGTCTAAACCTGCAAAGTAGCACGTTTCGCTAGTTCGTCCCAATATTCCAATACGGAATATCCTGATAACAGATATGTCAACGCGCCTTGGCACAGCATATTAACTCAGAATGAAAATCCCTATAACTACAGATCCCGTAGAGACTTTCATAACTGCTTACCTAGCATTAATTTAGTACAATGATAATAAACTATCATATAGATCTTCATTAGTTTAGGTGTTCGACTATATCTTCTAACGATAAATGTTGGTGGGTTAGTTATTAATCTTGGCAATATCCCATGTTGTTGCGACATTTGTGCAATTCTTACTGTTCTTTTCTCCATGATCAAGGAGTTAATTCCAATTTTAACTTTAACCTAGATGAAATCCGCCAATAAAAGATTAGATATTACAAACAACGGTAGCTGAGGACTTCCATTTATGTTTTCTTAATTAATACTTGAATCAAGAAACAAATTCAACATAGTACTTTTGGAAATCCTTTTAAGAAATCAGCCCTGTCACATTGTAAATAATGGGAGGATGTATATTTTAGTAAATCTTGGGAAGTTCCTACTCTTTTACATTTTTCTTTCTAACAACTCAAGAAACGAATAGTTCTGAACTTTTTTTCCGTAAAAAAACCCATTTAAAAAAATTGTACGAGTGTTATGATATGTATTTACTTTCACGAGCAATTTTCCTAACTGTGTCTCAGATTTTTTAACATTGACGTTTATAAATTCATGTTTGCAATGAATTTCATTCACCATTAGTTTATGGCCAAAAAGTATGATAAATTTCATTTACCATTTGTTTGTGGCCAAAAAGGTATGAAGTTAGATTAAATATTTAAAATGGCACAAAATGCAGCAAGCAACACCATCAAATGCCAATTCCTCATGAACAACGTATACAAAGTCAACATCATTGGGCCCTGGTGGGTCGGACTTACTTTTCAAAAAGAAAAAAGAAAAATGAAAAGTCCTCATGAAATACATGTAGAAAGTTAACATCACTAGGCCCAGGTAGTTCTGACTTGGTGTGCCCAAATCTTATTATTCAAAATCTTAGTGAGCCCAACTCATTGAATCCAATATGCAACATACCTCATATCAACGGGTAATGTTGTTGACAAGACAGACATATTCTCAGTTCTCTCCGTTTCACGACCATCGTAATCCCCATTTTTTAGCCCATATTCTTTATTTCTCCGTCCTATCATGCTTCTCTCTCAATTAGGGCCGGTTATTTTGACCCACGGTTTAGGTCGAACCCATGAAACGAACCGAACTGAACCGATCTGAAATCTTAACTTCAATTCAGTTCAGTTCGGATAAATTATTTCAAAGAGTGAAATGCTTCAGATCGAGTCGAGTTAAGTAAATATCCAAATTGAACCGAATTAATCCAAACAAAAAATAATAATAATAAATTCAATAATTTCGCCATTGACCACCACCGACCACCTTTGACCATTGTTCCCGACCGCCGCTGACGACAAATTCCGGCCAAAATTCCGGCGCCGTCGTTGAGAAGTTGATTTTTTGGCAAAAAATTCCGGCAAAATTACCGGAAAATTCGGCGACCGGTGGCCGGCGTCGACAAGATGACGTCATTATACTATTTTAATGACATCATCGGATTGTTCTGTTCGGGTCAATTCAGTTCAAACACGAAATTTATCCGAACCGAACCATAGTGATCCAAATAAAAGTTACTCCATTTTTGAACCAATCCAAACTATCGGTTCAGTTCGGATTCGAATCGGTTTTTTGTAAAAGAACAGCCCTACTCTCAATAAACCAACAAACCGATCTATCACATCTTTAATACTATACTTTTTCGTCCCAAAACTTAGTTTATTTCATTAAAGACTAGCAGTACAACAAAATAAAAATAAAAATCATGCTCCTTCTATCTACCGTTCTAAAATAGTTTTCCAATTTCATTTTTTATTTTTAATTTTTAATATGACGAATTGTACTAAAAGTACTAACAATTATTTTGAAATATTGAAACACAAAGAGTATATTTTTTCCGGAAAGAAGGAATACATTTCAAATCATTAATAACAATCAAAGTATCATTCATTAACTAATTAGTTGAGTGTAATCTTTCAAGGTGTCCTAGTTCGTAATTGGCTTTGTGGACGATTTTGTCATGAATGAGATGGTACTTACCCAAAAGAACTCTACTTGGCACTCTAAAATCTCTACACCTAATCAACCCTTCTCAATCTAATTCTAGTGATCTGACTACGCAGCAACATTTCAAGAAAATACTTGGTTACATTCATCAATTGTTCAATTTAAATTTTTATTTTTTCTATAAAATTTATTTAACTGAAAATCTAAATTTGACAACTATTTTAAGACAGAAGAAGAAGTATAAAATTTCAATTTTTTTAATTGCTCCGAGCTAGTGATTATAATCTCAAATAATCTATTGTCTCTACACCGCCATATGTTGTCATCAAAACAAACTCATGATCATTCAGGATGAATGAGAGATATTTTGCATCATTTGATATTTGTGATGCGAAAGTATTTCTACTACTATTTCGTAATAAATTCGTGAGGAGTCAGTTAGGAGAGAAGAAGTAATATCACATCTTCATGTCAACATTAATTGTCCCTACTACTCTCCCAACCGGTTGGGGGGAACAAGACCGTAGCAATTTTGTCCATACTCTTTGGAAATGAACTTTTGAGAAGTGGAGTACACTAATAGTAGTAGTAGACTAGTTTGAATTGAGTTTCAAACACTTGTGATTTTGTCACGGACACCACCACAAGTGTCCGTATTAATTTTTTATATACACTATTAAAAAAACATTATTTTAAAAAAAATTATTTCTCATCCACTTCCTTAAAAAGAAATTGACAAATTACTAGTAATAACAATGGTAATAAATGACCGAAAATTTAACCACACGGTCAAAGAGATTAAAGATAGTAAAAGACAAAAAGTCGCGGCTTTGGAGTTTTGCCATTTATGACCGGAAAAAAAAAAGTCGTCATGACTCATGTCCATCACAATTCACAACGTAGAAAAGATCAAAAAGAAAACTCCGCAAACCGCTTCCTGCTCCTTCCCAAGAATGCGTTAATAACACAAAATTCGCGTTGGAAACTCGCATGATTAAACTAAATTGAGTTGGAATTCCGAAAATTTACGAGATGGGTTATCATTAATCATGCATTTAACAGACAAATCAGCCCCAGAAAACCAGACGAAAAAAAAAAGGGAAAGAAGAAATGTTGACCAACCTTGGAGCTGAAAGAGCTGAAAACAGAGGATTTGAGCAAACTCCCAATGCCTGAAGAACTCCTCTGAATCATCTGGTTTGGTACAAAATAGAACTAATGATTTACAAAAGGAGAGCAAAGAATTGGAGTATTTTTGTGGGGTGAATTCAGATTACAAAGAAGGCTGCCTGTGATGATGAAATCAAATGGGGGAAAAATGCTCTGTTTTTTTAAAAAAATGGAGATAATCTGAGTGTTCTGATAAACTTGAAGGGAAGAAAAAAGAGGACAAATTTTGAGAGGAAGGTAGAACACGGAATCAAAAAGGGGAATAATGATTCTTTTCTTTCTTTCTTTTTTGGTTGTGATTTGTGATATATATATCATCAAAAATAAGGCTAATTTTTATACAAGGAAGAATGGGGAAGACTTTCCCCTGCTGGCTGAGCTGATCTGTAGCGTGAATTCGAGCTAACAATACCACGTCAGTCCTGAGTGGGACCAAGAAACCGAATGAATTTTTCTATCTTAGTGGACACTTTTTATAAAAATAAAAACAAAATTAAAACCATTTGTTCTTTTGCACGAGCTGTTATTTCTTTAAAATTTTATTTTGTATATTAATTAAGTCAAATTGACAAGTATCTTGATTGGTGGTCCTTCTTTATTACTCTCTCCGTCTTAAAAAAAAAATAAAGTACAGATTGAATTTTTAAATTTGTACTAAAACAAAATTTAAAAATTAAATGTAAATTATTTTTTTGGAATATGTATTTGAGTAACAGGGACAGTGTATGGAAAATAAGAAAAGGCCGACTGATCACTAAAAATAAAAAATGACTCCCATTATAACACAACGAAAACTACACTCCTTGCTAAATTAGTACCCACTGTGGCATTAAACGACATGATTTATGTTAGTTATGTTTTTTTTTTTTTTATAACTCATTTAAGTTGTTTTTGTCACTTATTTTCACATTTTATTAGACCAATTTGTTCTATCAACTAACACTTTCATCAACTTATAAGAAAAGTTTAAAAATTACTACAAACGTAAATTGGATTGTTGTGATGATAGAAACCGTCTTATTACATATTCCCTTCATTTTGAAATATATGTCGTTTTAGGATTTGGTGAATTTTTTTAAATATATGTCGTTTTCATTAGAAATATGACCTTGCATTGGAAATAAAATAATATTATAATGAATTTATATTGATTTGTGATGAATTGTATAAATAATAAACAAGGATATTTTTATATTTTAACTACATTAATTAATATTTTTTTAGTTTTGATGATTCCTCTGTAAGATAAAAAAAAATGGAGGGAGTACCAAAAAGCAATGAAAATCAAAATATTGAACCGCTTCGCAGCACTTTCATCAGGTTGCTGGTTACGCAATTCGCTTTAATTGAAGCACTGTCTGAACGTGGGTCTATATTTCCTAGAGGCACAGTTTAATGAATTTCAATAAATGCGATACTGGAATTTAATTCTTGTTGGAAACTTGTATTGTGAATCAGTACTGCGTCATTTTCTAAAAAAAAAAATTCTTTTTCTTCTTTTGTTTGTACTGTTAATGTTGTGTCGTAATTGTACCCTCTTTCTTAAAATTTAAGATTCTCAATTTCATCAAAAGAGGCTTTTCCTTCTCCTTTTTCTCTTTTTATATTTTATTATAGAATCATTATTTGGTACATTCTCCATTTTTTTTTATATGTCTTTCAAGAGAAATCATCAAAACCAAGAACACATTAATTAATGTAATTAAAATATAAAAATATCCGTATTTATTGTTTATACAATTCATCACAAACCAATAAAATTCATTATAAATACGGTTTCATTTTCAATGCAAGGGTAATATTGGTAAAAAGTGATCAAATATGCTTCAATTTGTGAAAACGACATATATTTAAAAAAATTCACGAAATTCTAAAACGACATATATTTCAAAATGGAGGGAGTATATGCTAATATTGTTTTTAGGGAAACTTTTCTCAATCAACTTGATTAAATGAAGGATAAATTATTTCCCAACAACAATTTCGGAAAATTTGACAAGTACAGGAGAATAAGGTGAATTATCTCCTAAGACTTAGAAAGATAAATCACTAGTGAAAATGTATAAATATGGATGGTTATAATTCATTTCCAGTTAAAATTTTCTATAAAATTTCCATGCATGAATGTTTATCTTTTCTCATTTATACACCGCTTGCAGTACTAGGAACATGTATGTTTGGTCAATAAATGTATAGGTATATTATGAATTCACGTTGTATGCTCAATTATAGATGTTTGTTGCTGAAATTAATATCAATTTGGTTGGTAGAGCAAATTCACTATCTCATATAAAAGCCATGAAAATGACACTTTAATCACTTTTCTTTCCCCTCCCATCGTTATATATAGCTACCCCCTCATGATGGCACAGTTTTCCTAATTCTGTGAGGCACAAACTGTACCGGTTCATTATCTTTCGTTTTTCAGGCTGCAAGTAGGTAGACCAAGTAGTTTTCACCTTCTTATTACACTATATGCCAAGTTGGAACATTAATATAACTGAACTCTATGAACTTAAATTGGAAGTTAGTTATGGGGATACTGTTGAATTCCCATTCTCTATTCAAATTTCAAACCTATCCATTTTGCCCAATTGAGCATTCATCCTTGCAGGTAAGTTTACTTTTCTATATCAATCACCACTAATATCATCCAACCATACGTTGAGTTTTTAATAGTCCAATTCGTTTTTTTATATACATAAAAAATCCGCTCAAGTGGACCTCACTTAAATATGGGTAAAACCCACTTTACAACTCTTGATGGGAATTGAACCCTGGTCTATTGCCAGAAAAAACAGTAACTTAACTACTAAATTGTCATTCAATTCCCTTTTGATAGTCCAATTCATTAAGCTAAACAGATATAAAAATCACTAACAACATTTACGAACTAAAAGGAAAATAAAATGAAAGCTGAGGAAAGGCTATAAAGAGCAATCAAATTTACGAATCAAAGTGGTTATGGTGGAGTGAAAGGGAGTCATCCACTCTTAACTATAAGTCGAGAGTTCGAACCTCCCTATGAGCATGGAGCAACCTTAAATACTTTGGTCAGCTGTCCCACCCATCGAGGTGCCTACAATTCAGCAAGGGGGATTAGTTACTGTTGCCGACGGTAGACACTCTGTAAATATGGAAAAAAAAAAAGGGAAAAAAAAAGATTATTCATGAGATGTGGTTTCTTTAGCAAGAATATATCAGACAGGTCTTCATAGATCTATTTTGGACAATAGTCAAGAGTTAAACCATGAAGTGATTATGATATTAATAACATAAAATATTCCTACAATGTTAAGTAAAGATATCACAACAGAAATTTAACAAAAAAGAAAGAAAGAAAGAAAGAAAGAAAATGAAATGTAATCATGTGAAAGGAGGAGCTAGATCTGATTTCGCGACCACGAAATATTCACACTTATTAATCACTCGACTAACACGCCATTATACATTAATTAAATGCATTTTTAAATTGTTCAATAATTGGTTCGAATATTATGTTTATGATATGTCCTCGTATTGACATTTTTGTACTGTTTACACTTGGCCCGCAAATACTGTATATATTCACTGCCGCCTGATTCATGTGGTAATGCCATGTAATATTCTTAACTTTTAATTAGAAAAAAAAAGCAAAAAAAAAAAAAAAAAACAAGAAGCAGTAAGATAAAAATAAAGAAATTTATTGAGTATATCCCTTGATGTGCTCTCTTCTCTTTAATCAAAAGCTAATGCTGATATGGATTAATGGTGTGCAATATAGCTCATATGCATTACAGATTATCTCGATGGTGTTTTTTTATATTAACCCAATATTTTACTCTGATCGGCCGACAGTCAACCAAACCGACAATTCATTTCTCCGGATTCATTTGGTAAATCAAATCTCACCATGTGTGGTTGTTACAGATTAATATTACTATATATATATATATATGTATATATATATATATATATATGTTTTAGTAAACTGTAAATGCTAGGACGGTAAATGTGTAATCCTAGACTTTACTATATGTACTTCATAAACTCACGATGAATGATACATTGGCTACCCTAATAGGGTTTCTTGTCATGGCATCCGAGTAGGTTTACTCCAGCCGCCTCACATCTTTTCCTTCATAAATTTTTTTTTTTCTGATCGCCAGTTTTTTTTTTCTTTTCTGATCATGACGACTGGCAATGATGATTCTGTTTCTAGTACAAAAACTGTCGAGACTGGTGATCATTCAGTCCGTCGGAAAATCATTTCTCCATATGATCTCTCGGCTAGTGATAATCCAGGATTGATCATTTCTCCAGTTCAACTCTGTGAAAGTAATTATCTTGAATGGGCTTTTTCTGTTTGCCGTGCTCGTCGTGCACGAAAGAAATTCGGCTTTGTCGATGGATCGATCAAACAGCCGAGTGAAACTTCTTCAGATCATGAGGATTGGTGGACGAATCATTCTTTGATAGTTTCTTGGATCATGGACACCATTGAACCTGTGCTGCGTACCACCATTTCGGAGTTTGATGAAGCCTCTGATCTCAGGAAGGATCTTCACGAGCGTTTTTCGGTGGTTAATGGTCCCCGTATTCAGCAATTAAAGGCCTCTCTCGCCGATACCAAGCAACAAGGTATGACAATGTCTGCGTATTATGGAAAGTTGAAGAAATTGTGGGAGGAATTGGCCGATTTTGACCGTCCTCCAACTTGTTTTTGTGGTCGTTGTATTTGCCGGCTGGATGCTGCTTGGAAGAGACAACGTGAGACCGAAAAAATTCATCAATTTTTGCTTGGCTTGGATAGCTCCTTGTATGCTGCCGCTCAGTCGAATATTCTCGCTCTAGACTCGTTACCCCGATTGAATAAGGTTTACTCCACAATGGTGCAAGAAGAACATGTTCTTAACATCACTCAAGGTCAATTTGCTGCTTCGCCGGAAGTCATGAGCTTTGCCGTGAAAGCTACTCCCAAGTTGCAGTCCCGATCACTAGCTACTGCTTCCAAAACTTGCACTGTTTGCTCTCGTCCAGGCCAT